AAATATAATCTTTGAATTGTGGTGAAAGGGTCATCTTTACATACACAGATCATTTTTTATCTTTTCAGGTCAAACTGCTTTGTACAAAAACAATTTTGGAAGAAATAATAATCAATCTTTGTGAAAAATTCGAATTTTTCTATTACCCGAAACTGCATGCATTTCTATACAGGGTGGGTCAACAGTATATGGACGATCCGTTTGTCTGAAGGCACACTTTGAAGATAACACCAAAGTTTTATCATTTTTTCAAATCAAATGACCCATATTTTATTGCACATTCGGATAAATCCTTTTAAAGGAAGTATATTGATATGACACACCAGAAGGGTTTTGATTACTAACTGTTGATTTATAAACTTTATAAGAAAGCTAACTTTGACATCTCGACAGACCGTTGTTTCTGTTGACTTCAGTTAGGTTCTACAGGGTTATCAAAAAAGAAAAACATATTTTTTCTCAATAATAGGAATATCCTGAACTTACGTCAATTTTTTTTCATGCGTGACACAGATGGCGTCTTTCAAAAAATTTGATCAACATGTATAATTTATACAAATTTTATCTGTCCGGAATTATGTAATAAATATAATCGATTTAATAAAAATCGATTATAAGGAAAAATTAATCGATTTAAATGGAAATCGATTATTTTTTAACATACCTATAACGGTTTCCCTCAAAATTCATCAAGATAAGTTAGTTTTCGTGACCACTGGATTAAAATCGAGCATTTTTGGCACAATATCATAATACTATATAATAGGTATATTGTGAGGTTTACAACAGAATATTTATTCTTGATGTCTTTTAAAACATAAATAATATCTAACTTTTTCCTCTAGCGTCCCCAGTGCTGATGTTTATCTGCATTTTTTCGTGTCAGTTCGTATCAAATAGTTTAAAATTGTGTGGCAAATTGACAAAAAAATGCCTCAAAAACTTCCATGTTCGCGTCTCGGCAGTTCGAACCACCGAAATACCAGCAGTTTGGACGAGTTAACCATAAATCTTCTGTATCGTATTTCTTTTACGATCTGGCACGTCGCTCTCTACATAGAAAATGCATCTGTGAAGGTAAATATGTTATATATACACATACATCAAAACGAAACGATTCGTGTTTATGTTTGCATCTTTCCGAAGTAGCATTGCAGTTAATATTTCGGTTACATCCTCCTCCGTTAGATTATAGTACCACCATGCAATTTTGCAATTTCATTACAGTTTTCAGCACTACTATAATTACGTTTTTTATACTCTGACTAGATGCTGTCAATTGAATGTGCTTACCAGCACTTTAATTAGCAAATTGCTAATAACTATGACCAATTGAGGACTCTCTATTTGCGGCCTGTTCTAGACAAAGTTTAGTTATGAATGATTTACGATTTGCACAAAGACTCCGATGTAGGCTAATTTTGCAATTCAAGCTAATGAGGAAGGAAAACATCTGCCTTTAGGAAACTAATAACTGTTAACTGTCAGTATTCATCAAATCAAACCATCCGTTGAACTGATCTTACAAAACAATTCTTTAGTTGTAGCACCATACACTATCATCTGTTGTAAAATTAGAATTTTTGGAAAGCTGTCATGTGAAACTCAGTATCTCGACAGCTTTGATTAGGACAAATTTGGACTAGATCAATTCAAAGAATTTCAGGGTGTTTGTTGCTCAAGGAATACACAAAAAGGATAATAACAGAAGCACCTTTCACCGCCCACGCCAATTTAGTATTGTAATCGTGAAAAACTACGATATCGAGATAATACGTATTCCGAATTCTACACACTACAACCCGATAAACTATATCACTCATTTCTGTCGGTCTGCCTGTTTTCCCGCTAATCCTTGGCCCTTGTATAATTTGGCGAGTCGGTCCAGTGGCGGTGGAGAGACATACCTGAAACGAAAGGAATAAAAATCGCTCGATTGATCAATTTTGAAGAACATACTTAGGGGTAAAGAATTGAGGGTGCAGTCGTGCAAGAATGGAGAGGCTGTTTCGTAATTTTTTGATGTTAGTACCTAATAATGTGTGTAATAACACTTCCAACCCGATAATTCTACGTACCTATCAGATATATTTCGCACATCATAGGTTGCCCCGTACGATTGCGCTTAAAGCTCAGAACGATATAAAAATGTTTTTGACAAGGGCCCCTGCGTCTGGTGACCAAAACGGCCTCGTCCGGCGTGCCGGTGTTAGGTTTTGTCCTGCATGTCTGGTGTCGTGTTTTTAGGTAATGGGGAGAGGCGACCCGACGTTGACAGATGGACGGTACAACAGAAAAAGTATGTTATGGGGTAATAGTACAGACCTATTTGACGGACATTATCCGTTTAATTTCCCTGTTATACGTGTTCATAACTAACTTTTTTCTTGCTTTTTGGCAAAGAAAGAAATCATGGCAACTGTCCTCTATCCAGGAGTAAGGTATACGGCACTGTCGTATTTCGATAGGGCTTAACGTATGCTGGGTTGCGTGGGAAATGTAGAGTCAACCTACTTGGCGCCATTTTTTTAATAATTAGCGTTACAAGGAGCATGACCACTTTACAACCATGGTATGATATGACCCCGTGTGTATCGACAACACGGCTATAAAGTATGCATATGACAGGCATTTTGTATCCTCATGTTATTCAGTCTCAGTTTTTTTGGTATCTCGAGTTTTATAGATAGCAGAAATAGGTATACCGTAAGGCTACTAGTTCTAGTAATTGGATCAACCGCTTGATTTACGAATATTCCAGCTGATTCCTATCGCCCGACTAGTTGTAAAGTATTGGAAAACTCGTTCCAAGGTGGGGTTCGGTGTACCGCCATTTTTTTTTCAATTAGAACCAAGTGCGATAAAACTGCCGCTCGGTACGACGAGTGTTAAATTACAGATCGACTATAAGATTAATGGTAATTACCCTGTAAATATATGCAATTTTCGCGTTGAGATTTCCAAGTGATCATTCTTTACCTCACCGATTTATTGGATTCGTTTTTTGAATGATAATTAGCCGCGGCCGTAAACGTATATTCGCACTTTTTGGACCTGCTATCGATTCAGGAAGATTAATGGCTCAGCGGCCCGCCCCAAGTGCGATCTCTCGTAATCTTGGTCGATAGCCAGGGTTGGGCAGAGCAGAAATATTACACCAGGAATTTTGCATAGATGATGTTCGAAATGCGCTTCTTGGCCCCATAGTAATATTTATACTTCGCCCAGCACGAGTGTCGAGGGTTTTTTTCTGAGTGATGGGTGTGTCTCAAAATTGAGTGAAAAGCTTTGTGCGTAAGGTACTAAGGAAATTATATGAAAGAAGCAAGAGCATTGGTAGATTGCGGCTTAATGGTACAAACTTGGAACTCTAGAAAACAAAGTCTAATGAGAGGCAAATCGTTGGAGCCAACTGATGTTCTGAGTTGGGGTCACTTGCTCCCCGACTCTGTTACTACGACCAGCCGCAGAGAACGTTGTTTCATGCTTTTCAGCAATCATCATATGTCTAGTCTTGCAGAACAGATAAACAGAAAGCAAAGATACGCGTATGGATATACAAGGATATGATCTACCTATTTTATTACATATCCAAATATATAGATCCTTCCATGAGAGAAAGATTGATTCTGACTATTGCATGCTGAGTTATAAGCGAATCAATGTACAAAAACGCTCTAATCTGTCAGTCTGCCAGTTCGACATTTTGAAAGTTAGTCAATTTATTTAATTTCAAAATAAGGTTTCACGTTTCTATTCCATTTGAAAGTAGTTCCGAAATGGCGCACAGCCAGAGTCTTGTGATTTTCAACTGCAATTTTCAGGCCATCATGTAAGACTTATGCATCAACTCCATTACTAAAAATTTCATCTTGCTCGTTTATACATTTTAAAAAAAATGAGCATATGGGCGCACACGGCTACATTTATAACATTTTAATATTGACCTGTCTTTACCTGAAAACTTCTTACTTTTGGAGTAATAGTAAAAGTGCAAAAATTTTCTATTAATACAGCAGCTATCATCGATCAAAAAAATGCTGGTGTTTGTTTTTACTTCTCACCCCACTGCACTGGCGAGGAAGTATTGTAATTGCGGAAAATTTCGAAAATCTTTTTCTGGATGTTATATGACATCTACATCACGGAAAACCGAAACACTCATTTCTGTGTGACTGTTCGCTAATCCTTGACCCGTATATAACTTGGAAAGTACTGTTCGGATTTTGATGAAAATTTTAATTGACATTCACGAGTATTGTGCTTATATTAATGAATCTGAGAATGCTTTTTTGGCAATCATATTCATTATGTTACATGACCAGCTGTGAAGGTTTCCATAACCGGTCATAGGGAACCAATAAGGATGCCTAAGCGTACAAAAGTTGACTCAGACACTATACATCATACATATGCAGTATATTTGTCCTGAATGGCATGGGAAGTACAGTCGACCTACTTGACGCCATTTGTTAATACCAAAGAAGCAAATGCCATCGAAATCAAAACTGTCATGTACACTTCTGTTTTTCGAGTTTCTAACCAGCCATTTGATTGTGTGCATAATCGTATGCAGTCTTAAAAGTAAAACCACGATCATCAAAAAGGGACGCTACTGACACCAATTTTTAATGCAGTCTCTCTCCAACAACAGGCAGGATATAAACATTTACAAATTGTGCAGGTGAAAGGTAAACATCGCATCAATATCAACTCCCGACTAAATAAACACAGTAAGAATTTACTGTCTAGTATTTATTTTGAGTAGGTGGTCCTGTTAAATGCCTCAGATCTATTTAGCGTAAAGCTTAGATATTAAGGCCTTCTACGCTTCAGAACGTGCGGATAATAATTTGAGTAGGTATCAAATAGGAACACGACAGTTGTTCCGCATCATCTTATTGCTACAGTATATCGCTGAAATTTTACCATCCTCTACTATTTCAACAACTTCATCATTAATATGAAACTAAACTAACCTCGTTTCTCTCTTGTTACAGCACACCCATGATGAACCGGTGAATAATGGTCAAGAAGTGAAAAAGGTGAGTTAATTAGTCTACAATCCAACGAATTCAGACTAAGTAGAAGGAGCAATCCCTATAATCTATTCGAATTCGTTGAAACTACTAAATATCAAGTTGATAGAAAAGGGCATATCCTTATTGAAAACATAAAAACTGACAAAAATATTTTGTTTCCTTGAACATAAACTGGAAAAATAAACAAAAGGGTTTTGAGCGCCAGATGTTCTGGATTAATAATTGGTTAGTGAGGACGACTGTACAACATAGACATAAGTCTGAGATATCACGATTCTTCATACAAGGTAATTCTCAGTTTTGATTCCAATAACTACGACCAAAAAAAGAAGTATAGTTGACCCATTAGATAGTTTTTTGAATATCTCCGATTAGAGTAAAAATACTAAACCGATATAAAATAAAAACTCGGTGAAGTTCTGATATTTTTCTTCCAGTTATGAATAGCTTTTCAAATGATAACACAACAAACCCATGTGAGTATATTCGTATAGGATTACAAGTTGGCCCTCATGAGAAAAAACGAACATGTCTAACAAAAAAAAAATAATAATCTTCCTCCCCCCCTGAGAGAAATTCCTGCGGTCGCACATGATCGTTGCGATGCCCAATCCCATGTGAATGACGATATTGGCCTTCAGTGTGTTCGATAGTAGCTAAATGTACGATAATTTTGCGAATGAGGTGTTCTTTTACTATGAATCCAACAATTACATTCAGACATCTCTGCAGCAAATAGAAATTTCAGATTTGAACTTTTTTGTTAAAATCCACCATTTTGTTTTTATAAAACCATAATATAGCCAATGTCACTCGCAATGCGAAGATGAATCCAACAACACCTCATATGTCAAAATCCATGAAATAGAATGTTTTGGATACATACATACCCACCCGCGAAAAACATAACCCTCCTTCTTAGGTAGCCGGTTAAAGAGTATTCGTCATATGCGTAATCAACTAACTGTCATCTTAATTAGTAACATAAGTCAGACCAACAATTAGGTGGAATTAGTTTCCTGGTATAAAGAATATAATGTATACAAAATTTTCCACCTTCATTTATGTTGTGTTGAATAAGATAAGCAAAGCTTTTTCGTTTAATATTGCCGACTTTAAAATGGCGCACAAGTATCTACCGCCAAGAGTGCTAAAATAACGGGAATATCAAAGACATGCAACATGGAAGTGATTCTAAATGGATACTCTAGTACATAAACAAATTTTAGTATCAGTTTTATCACCATTGTTATCACTTGAAATACTTTTTCCAACTTTAAGATTGAGATAAGCTATGAAATACAAGAGATTAAAAAATATTTTTATACGACCTATTCCAGTGAATTTAGATTCAAATGTGATAAAATATGGCTACTACAATGAGTGATTTAATAATAAGAGAGGCATTTTTTGTCAGAACACATGTCTCAAGGCATATTCCGAATCAAGAATAGTTTGTTTTGTCGCTAACACAAGAGCTATAATTTACGTATGTGCTGTTTAAGATGCAGATTAGTTCATTATTAGAGGAAACGCGAAACTATGCTCACTAGTCTAATGGACCTCATCTTACAGATGCAGATAAGCCGCGAAAATATCTAGGCATTATTTTCTGTCTGCCGTAATAACAATAATTATTATTACGAATGCCCCAGTGGCATCAGCGATTGTGATAAGGGTATGATGCTAATAAATTAATTAGATGATAAACGTTTCATTGAATGACCGCACTTTATCGTTTATTTTTAGTAGGCTTAGTTTCTTTGTTAAGTCTGCTTCAGTTGGTAATAGTGCTTCAAGCTATTCAAACCTTCTGATGGTAATATGGTGGAAATGTTTGTGTACTTTTTCAAAAGTTATGGGTTGGATGGATATATGAAATTGGTGCGTATTACTACTCAATATATCCTTAGTTCAAGGAATCATTTAGAAATTAAACATTCATCTGTCAAGCTTATGCAATACGAATCTGCCAAAAAATATCAACAATCGAATCAACTAATCCACATACTTCTGCTAAAGAATGTTTTAGAAAGGAAGCATTGCGTATTTATGTTGTTGCTATATTAGTACGTTCCAAAAACATTCACCATTTTCTAAATATCCAACCATAGAAAAGCTTTGTATTAATTTAGATATATACCGCTAAGCTCCGCAATAAAAAACCAAAGCTATTTTCACCACTTAACCCTTGCAAAACTAGCACTAGAATGTTATTAGCGCACAAGTCCTCACTATGCACCTATGCATTGCCGTTACCTCCAGTAAGGCCATCTCTGAAGCAGATATTTTACATCACATCAGAGCCAAACATTGATAACTGAAGCCTCATGCACACGTACAACTAAGTTCTGAGTTAACATCTTGTATAAAAACTTAAATAATGTCACAAAAAACAATACAATGTCAAAAAAATCGGCGGGTCAGTGTCAGTGTAGATGTTGTGTGGAGATAGGTAAGACCATAAGGAAATGAAAAGCTACAGAAAGATAAAATTGTTGCAGTTCTATGTGATTAAAAAAGGAATAAAACACACAACGATTTTATTTAGCCCCCAAAAAACCCCCACAACAATATATCTCTAAAAAATCTCTAATGTAAGTAAAAACCTCCCAAATTTTGGGGAAATCCAATATAGCAACCCTGTATTCAGCCTCAGTTTAGTTTACGCAACATTTGCATAGTACGTCAATGATGCTAGCTTGGTAAGTACTTGTACTCCCCGAGCGACGATTGGACGCATATATGGTCCGGTATAGTATTTCAGCGCCAGATTAATCAACTGCCGAATTTATATAAGTATACTTTACAAACAATGTAGTAATGTTCCTTTATTAATTTGCAGATGCTGCGCTCAACCTCATACACATCCGGTTTCGCAGGAGGCGGTGCTGACGATCGCGACCCGTTGACGAGCCAACCGCGCGCGGGTGGTGGGAGGTCTTGTGCCGCCCCCGAAACGAACGGGGGCGGTATGGATCTCGGCTACGTCACGGAGCGGATCATCGCCATGTGGTTCCCAGCCGTCATGTCCAGAAACCAGTATCGACACGCGCAGAGGCAGGCGGCGATCATGCTGGGGAACAAACATGGAGATAATTACATGGTGAGCAAATGCAAAAATAAAAGTGGCCTCAAGTAGGTTGACTCTGCACTTCCTACCCAACGCCGTCATCAGTTCATATAGGATTAAGTTTAGGCAGAAGTTGAACCCTTTGAGAGAAAAATTAGTTACGTACACGTACTAGAAACATGAAATCGATCAAGGCAGTCAAACAGGTTCATACAATTAGTCCATAGACAGTATTTCCTTACCCTACCGGTAGTTACCGTTCATTTGGCAATGTTGCCTCTTCCCATATCATCAGTTGCGGCAGCGCCCACCAAAGCGCTGCCGCAGTACGAGCTGAACAATCAGACAGATTGTTACACTACCCAGATCTGAAGGAGACGCAAATCAAAATCATTTCTCTATGATTCTAAGTTTGAACTTCAAATGTATGGGGAAACTTTTGATCTGTGAAATATGGCTAATAAGTGCGTCGAATTATCGGCGCTCGTAGCGTATAAAGATACTAACATCAAAAAATTAGTTATATTTCCCCCCACCCCCTACCACCTCCACTCCCTATTTTTTTTTTTACCGTAATTTTTTTCCAAAAATCATCAGGATCCTCTGAATCATCAACAAACGAAGTTGGAGCGTTATTTATTTTTTTCGTTTTCTGTTGTTTGCTCCACCGCCACTGGACCCATTTTAAAAAACCACAAAAGTCATCCAATCATCCAAATCCGAGCAGCATTTTCCAAGTTATAGCGGACACACATACAGACCGAACGTCAGACAAACCAACCGACATTTACAGGTCGTATAAGATCCTAAAAATATGTCTCATTACAATGTTTCCTCGCTCAGTTTGTTTGACAAGTTGAAGAAATGATGCATAGAAAATTGAAATACACTAAATTATTTTCTAAAATGTCTCTGTAAGAATATTAGATACGGCCATAGAACTGTTCTTACTTCTATCATCAGTTCAAAGCTAGTGAAGAATCATTCCGATGTTCATCACTGCAAATTGGTGTTGAGAATGATTCCTTGATTTGACAGATTTATCTTTGCATAAACATGACGTTGTGTATGTTTTATAATAATGAATTAGTTTGTGCTTACTTTACCAAGATTTGTAGGAGAATGCTAATAAAGATTAACGAAAGCTTGAGTTAGAGCAGAGTATACTTGCTTAAAGCCTTAGGGCAATCATTTTATAATTTCTTTTCGGAGAGGTTTTAGAACTTGAATATTCTCATAGATTTTGACCTCAATATTCATGATATTTTTAGGAATAATATAACTATATGACAAAATAAGGTAGATACTACAGAAGGAGTGGTTTTTAAATATTAACAAGAGTTCAGGTAAAATTACAAAATCACTGAACCAGTTTTTTTTGTTTTGAATTACCGTACATTCCATTTAGGGTAAAACTTTCCACTCCAGACGCCAAAACAGTCATAAAAATGCTGAACAAGTAATTTGTGGAAAATGTTTCATAGCTTAACTTATCATATAGTTTTCATCCCAAAATGAGTCAAAAAGGAGATATTGTCAAAATACTTTTTTGTGCGCCCTCTTTCGACTTGTGCGAAAATATACGAAGTAATAATTTATGAAGACATCAACATTTTCAAACTCCTCTAAAGCTTTTCAGGCGACCTCATTATTGAACACTAAATGATTGGAGTAACATCTAATATTGGCAGGATCTCCAACAATCTCATTCTTTTTTTCGTTTCAACTAGTCTTTGGTTACTACCCTACCTATCTATAGATATATCTTTGGACTAATGTTGAACATTTCATTTTCAGGTGTTCAATCTTTCGGAACCGAAAAGGGTGCTACGCAACGAACATAAGCACGTTAAAGAAGTCGGATGGGCAATTGAACTGGCGCCACCCCTGGAGAGGTTGTGCAGTGTCTGCAAGGACATCGATTCCTGGCTAGCTGGAGACCAACATCGCATCGCTGTGTTGCATGTCAGGTAATGATGATGCTCAAATATTAATGAGACGTCGGGACCAGAACCGTATTGTGAAACTACGAGTGGGCAATCTAGTGTTTGAACTTTCAATTATTATGTTGACATAGCTAAAATCTAATTTATGACATGCTATAGTTGTAGTTTTGTGTTCGATATTCAGGAAATGGGACCGTCCATTACATTTTCGCTTATACCCAAAACTGGCTGAGCATTTTTACCAGAAGATCATCTTTTCGGATAAAGCTCACTTTTATCTCGAAGGCCACGTGGATAAGCAAAATGGGCATCACGCGTCGTCGAGTAGAAACCACTTTCTTCGAAATTGATCATGGAGCTGCCATTTCAGTCAATGGTAAGCGCTACCATATCATGCTCAACGGATTTTTGTTTCCAAAAGTTAAAATGAACCTGCTTGATTATATTCTACAGTTGGTCATAAATATTAGGTTAATCATATAGAGACAAATGATGCCCTGTAATGCGAAATTGAAATTGCGATTCAAGAGATCTCTGTACAAGCTGAGGTAACAGCTTTACAGGTCTGGCAAATGAGATAATCAGGAAAATGGGTAACTCCGTCGATCGTCATCTGTGCAGACAGCCAGACAGCTATTAGGGCATCCCAAATATCGTCTAAATTATTAGGGGACTACGTGGATACTCTCAAAGGTCCGGGAAACCAGAACAAGGTAACATTTCTCTCAGTAATAGGACACTAAGGGTACAAAGGAAATAAAAAGGCGGGTGAGCTAGCCCGACAGGGAGCAGCCAATCTTCTTATGGGTCCAGAGCCTTTTGTGGCGTGGCGTGAACTCTTATCATGTAATCCATAAGAAATTGGACAAAGAAAAAGTCCCTAGAATTGTGGAACAGACAGTCAGGGCAAAGGCAGACAAAAGAGTTCATTAAAAAACGAAACATGCATATACAGAGCATTTGCTCAAATTTAATAGGAAGGCCATAAGAGCTATAGTGGGTCTCCTAACAGGACACTGTCAACTAAATGGACATATGAGTCTCTTGCATCTGGCAGAAGAGGCCATATGCCGTTTCTGCAGAGAGTATGAGGAAACCCCAATGCATGCCTTGTGTCACTGCGTAGGCCTGATAAGGCTTCGGTTTCAGATATTAGGAATCACAATTCCAACAGCGGAAAGCTACATGTAAAGCTCTGTGTCAAGGCTATGAAGTCTGATTAAAGGATCAAGGCTGGACACAGAATTGAGAGAGTATATTTGGGTGATCACAATAGATCCTTATGGGTTGGTAAAAATTTTAAATGTCCTACCCTATACTTGTATGGCATAGAACATTATATTATCTTCAGAAAAAAACTTCCACCCGATCGACATGAATGTTAATGTAAGGAAACGTCTCTACTACCTTTAAACTCTTGCAGACTGGACTATAAACTAGTAGCGAGGAGCACATCCAAGTGATTTTTCTTGGCGAGACCCCATGCGCGAATACAACAAAGGCATTACGATCACGTGTGGAAGAACTATGAAGAGTCCTTAAACGTTTTTCAGGTCGCACCGGAAGACAATAGGGTTGAGTGCATTATTGCAAAGCATGTTATCCCCTCATTATGCTGCTCCAAGTGATAGAAGGACTACCTAACTGAGGAATATACTCCAAAAAATTGCAAAGCTAGTTAGGTACTTGAAGTATCTAATAACAGAGACTAGAAGTGCACAGTAGTGCCTTATAGTCGAGCCACAAACTTACGAGGTTAATTGGCTGGCCATGCATAAACCAGAAACCTACATATTTTTAACACGCTTTTAACTTGGCCTGTTTGTTAGTATGTGTGGGACAAATCTTGGAACTGAATTTTGAACTAGTTAACCTTAACCAACTGAGTTGAAATAATTTTCGTAGACACGTTTGGTGTGCGAATACAAAATGAATTTAACTGCCGCGATTTTTAATCCATGGCGGATGTTACAAAATGGCGATTTATCATTTCTATAGACATTCCTAGGGTATGGCTATCAAATGAAGGGAATTGATGAGAGTGTAATAAGAAGGGAATTGATGAGAGTGAAATAAATTTATGATTCTTGTGGGCTTTTACTCCCATAGAAAAACACCTTCAGTCTTTATGGGTAACTTTATTCTATCCATAATCCTTGTTGCTAGGTTTTGTGAAGTGATTGCTCTGCTGACTGCAGCATCTCCGGCGACCTATATCATTTGCAATACCTAACATTTTCTAACAGTTTACAATAACAGTATTTATACAGTATGTTCGTATCATACTACAAGAGAAACGCAATAAGCAGAATGACGTCGTTCTAAATCCAATATGGCGGCCGCTGCAAAACTGCAATTTACATTTTTCATGCTCATCCTTACGATATGGGTATCAAATGAATGCACTTAATGGGAGAAACACAATAAGCGAAGTGATGACATTCCAAACGCAAGATGGTATCAAATTAAAGGGCTTGACGAGAGATACATAACAAGCAATGCGACGTCATTCTAAATCCAATATTGCACCCCTGGTAAAATGGTGATTTATATTTTCCATGGTTACCGTTATGATATGAGTGTCAAATGAAAGGGCTTAAGGAGATATCATATGATTTTGATCTATCAAGATTTTGTAGCACAAATAAAGTAAGCTTGTGTTAAAAAATGTATTTATTTTGTCATGTTATTTGTTCTTATATAGCTGTACAACATCTTTGACTTGGGAAATCAACATTTCGTTCTATACTTGATAGAAAACTTCCGAGTTTCACGGTCTTTCTAGATAGTTTGTAAAATTCAAATCTCCCTCGTTTCTCCAAGTCTGCATAAAGCATATACAGAAATCATACCAAAAGCTTCATTCATATGAGAAATCTACTGACCTACATATTGTGGTGCATATTCAAACAGGGGCGTATTGTTTCTAAAAATACCGACGAGTATCACATTCCCGACAACATTCCTGTCGCATATATTTGCTTTGAGAACTGAGACAAATGAGAAATATGTTTTTTGTCCCATTATATTGAAATATTCAGAAAGATGGATGACTTCAAAGATAAACGGGGACATTGAAGCAAAGTTTTGTTCACTATGTGACATTGTAGTGATTTTATGAAAATTTATCAAATAATACCAAATGTGAAACAATTTCTATAATTTTACTTATTCCTGTCTTTTGTTGCAGGGGCAATAAAGATAAACTAGGTGTGATAGTAGCGGCTTACATGCACTACTCCAGCATATGCGGGAATGCAGAACAGGCCTTAGATAGGTTTTCTATGAGGAAATTCTTGGACGATAATGTGGGTCCCTTAAGGCTTCCATCTAATAAAAGGTATATCCTACACTGATGTTCTTAATATGAAAACGGATGTTTCTAATATCGATTTTTTTTTGTTGAAACCAATTGGTAAAGCAATCCTGTTTCCTTCGGGAAATTAAAGCATGTTTTTTTTTCGTGATTTATTCCATTTTAGTATGGTTTCCGGTACCAGCCATCCACATAGGACCTCATAGCCTACGTCACGCAACTGTGGAGTAAACTCATTCAGTTTTAAAGTGAGGCTCATCTCGTTGCTCTTCGTATCACGAAAGCATCCGATCAGCTATGACATGCCGCCCTCTTATGCAAACTTCATCCTATGGCCTTCCAGAGAAGCTTTACAGATGTCTGGCTGATTGGCTCCGACGTTGTTCCTCTTACATATCAACGGCCTCCTTTCATGTACGATCAATCAAATCCATAGCTTTGCTGATGATAGCACTCTACATGCAGAGTGACAGGCCGATCTCTGCCGGTGTGCAGAAAATAGAACCAGCAACGACTTCCTCTCTGACGAGAGGACGCTTGAGGACGCAACAATCTTGTATAGTTTAATGCTTCGAAAACACAGTACTGTACCTTGACCAACAAGAACTGCCCTAGCCACGTGACCTCCTCACTCTGTAAAAGGCCGAGATAAGATCTAGCCTCGAGTACTGCTCACATGTTTGGCGTGCTACCGCCCCGACTACATAATAAATTCTCGATGCTGTTCAGAGCAGGGTTGTCCGACTGATCGATGACTTTTCTTTAACGGACATTCTCGGTAACCTTTCGCACCGGCGAGCCGTCCGCGATCGAGCTTTCTTCTACCGCTACGCCAACGGGCTCTGCTGCATAGAGCTCTCCTCCATGATGTCGCCGCGCGATGTGTCTGCCACAAAGACCCGCCTGACATCCGCCTCCCAACCTAACTGTGTCGAACTTCACACATCCAGAACTCCTTTGTCACTAGTAGGCAGTTCAAAAATCGGATTAACAAAGTTTCTTTAAGCTCCTCATAGCAGCCGCGGTGGCCTGGCATTTAGGCTTCTGCCTGCGCAGCTGCTTCAATGTAAAAGAATGACAAGCCTGCAAAGTACCTTTTTTTAATCTTTCGGAGTTTTGCTCAAATTTTATATATATATATATATTTTTTTTCAGATATGTAGACTATTTTGCTGGCCTCTTATCGCACAACATAAAGATCAACGCCGCGCCTATGTACCTTACCCACGTAACCGTTTTGGGAGCACCAACTTTTCAAAATGGTGGTTGTCGGGCTTTCCTCAAGATATACGAAGGTCACACTCCAGTATATACTTCCGGTAAGTCAGGCTCGCTCGACACAACATACATTGTAGTAGTAACATGATAACCATCAATTTCCAATGCACTTTATACCTCTGCTAATACATTTCTGTCAAACTTGAAATTGGATCCTTCTAAATGTTAATTAATGATAACGCCACGTTCGTCCATCCAGATGAGACCTAAAATGGTCATGAGGGAGTATTACTCAAGCCATTTCCCGACTGCGAGGCTTCATTTGCGCTCTACTCGGTTATGTGCGTTTCTACTAGGAGCTAAGATTCTAAACGAGTACGCATATCCATATTTAGGGAATCCCTGAAGATGCGTCTTGTATAGAATCCGAAATAGTAAACAAATAAATATTGCGTAATCACCATCTAGACACCTCATCCCCCATATCATCTAAAATAAGCAAAGCAATCCCCCCCGTTAGTGATTACGTAATACTTGAATGGTCCCATGGTACTTGATATATTTTCTGAATAGTCAGGAATACGATAATCAAAAACATACATGACATCGAATCCCATTTTAAAACGAAAAAAAGATAACACGTCGGAATTAAAACTTTTTATCTAAACCAATGATAAAACTTTATGCATGGCAAATGGACTAGTACGACTGGTACTCTATATTTATTTTGGCGTATGTTATACTTCCTGCTTTTTTGATGTTGGAAGATACATTTAAAATCTAGATTTATAGTTACGAGTGCGTTCTTTAACACCCATCGTGTTGCATGTTTATGACTAGTGAAAAGTATTCCAATAAAAATGCTCCCCTATTGTCATGAGTTTTACTCACATGCATTTTACGAACTTGTCCTGTAGCACATTCACAAGTATCTCGGTTAATTTTTTATAGTTCAGCTACCGCAGAACTAATTACCTTGAGTAAAATAAAATAATTCCTAATTCCGATAAACGTCCTTATTTCTCTGTCCAATCGAAACATGTGTTGAAAAATATGTATTGTAAACGTTCTGGTCACAACGGTGACTTTCTTCAGTACAATGACCTTGACAGCATATTTTATTTATCTTCTTCCATGTGACACTTCGTTTGTTTTTCCTTTCATTTTCATATTCATATACAGTGTGTTACTCTAATAGTGTGAAAGGTGTAGTTACATGCTTAGATTGCGCGAAGTCGTCATTCCAAATTTTAAGATGGGACCATGCAAAATCAGCATAGCCCAGGACGACCTGGGGGTAGGTATTCCAGATCCCAAAAAGGAAGTCTAGCCCTCCAAACCGACAAGCGAGCATGAGATCTGTCGTTTTTTTTTAAACATAGCAGACACTTCAGCGTCGCAATCATCCCGAAAATGCCAAAGGCCGTCCGAAAAATAAGAAAACCCACCCAGAGATGTTTTCGTAACACATCGGTTAATTGATTTGCAATCCTCAACTAAAATGTTGCAATTAAAGGGAATCGTGTTGTTTGTCATGTGACAAATGATATAAAACACAAAAATTGGCATTGATAAAACTTATATGCGTTGGAGATCTAACAACAAACCATGAGAAAAAATCTGGATAAAAAACTCATGATCGATTACCTTGGTTGGAAAATTTCAATTAGATTTTTCCTTTGGGGATATTCAACCATATTGTGTTTCGGTCCACACAAAAACTAGAAAGAAAATAATTGTTTAAATTTACACAGGCTAATTCTTTAACATTCCGTTTATAATTTTTATACTTTTTGAATAGTATTGAGACTTCCTTCCATTTTACATATTTCCAAATTCAAACTTGTTTCTTTCAAAAAAATGCTAAGAAAATTTTTCTTCGCATGATTTCAAAAACAATTTTGACTATTTAGGATTCCATAGAACATATAATAGTAAAAAAACTGTTGGCAATTATTCGGAAATTCAAAGAATTTATCGAACTAGATTATTTCCAGTATGACAGTGCACCGACATAAAGTTGTTGTTAGCTGCTATTTTAGCAGCCAGCCAGTCCAGATGGTTAGGAAACTTGCAGATGAGGTCATTACCAACAGAACTGATTCTATAATATTATATTCACAGATCAGCTAACTTCAAGGTATTATTTCGCACGTTTTTTTTTTCTAAATAGTGGGCAATTTTTTATATTAATATTACAAATTTGACTCAATATTCACTGTAAATTGTGGATTTGGACTTTAGTAACAGACAACTCCATAGCTATTATTTTTTATGATAAAATCACCAATCATTGCGACAACAGAGAGCATTTTCGAATCTTAAAATCTGAGAACAGCCCTACTTCTGAAGCATGCGGGTTCGAATCTCCGCCTCGGAAGTTAGTTCCGAGTTATGCACGCTATGTTGTGTGTTGTCTATATCACGCACTAGACCAGTGCAATATTAGATATGAGTTACGACTACGGGGTCGGCAAAAACGGTCAAAGGAGGCTTGGTTGCTAGGCTGCGCCTTCCAACCACCACAGGCCTACTGTCTTTGAAAATTAAATTTAAAGCCAATAGTGATTTCATCCAAACAAGTAATGTTTGCAGAGGAAAAAACAAAAAATATAAAACCATTGCAATGGTGGGAATCACAGTTGACATACGCATAAAAAAGCATGATCAACTAACGCCTATCTTCTACCAGATGTTCACAGCTGTGACTTCCTCAGCATCTATGGAAAGGATTTTTCTACATTTGGTCTGGCCCATTCTAAGCTTCAAAATAGTCTGGGAAATGATAACACGGCGAAATTGGTGCTCCTTTTTAAATGTTACAATGAATACTAAATAGTTATTGATATTATTCATTAATACGAGTAGTTTGCTATAATATCATAGTTTAAATTAATAAATGAAAACTGTGCGTTTAAATCAGTATTTTTCTCTTAAATAACTGATTTGATTATTATTACCCTAAGAAATCCATGAACTTTCAATAAAAAAAACGAATTTCATTTAAATATTGATGTTTATCAAAAATCACATAATACATATATAAAAGGAAAATAATGGGGAAAATCCGCAAAAAGAATTTTCAAGGCGACATCTGCATTTATTTTGGGCCTGATGAAGCCAAAATGCAGAAATACGTATTGCTCGGGTAACCTATTGTATTTTCTGCTCGAATCCACTTTCCTTCTTTTTGCGGATTTTGCCCATTATTTTCCTATTTTTGTTATATACCTTTCTCCGCATTGTCATTTTCTCTTTGTAGACCCTTTGGGCTTGAAGTACCACAGCACCTGGCTATAACCGGCCGCGTGATTGTGATTAGATGTCGCCTTGAAAATTCGAGGTCTTCTAGCCATTTTATACTACAATGTTGGCTCTTGTTGGGGACTTCTATCATATTTTTTCCTTCTCTATCTTCATTTCCTCACCTTTGTGGTTGCATATGTGCATTTATTTCAGGACTGATGAAGCCAACAAGCAGAAACACGTATTGCTCGGGTTAGCTATCCTGTTTTCTGCTCGATTCCAATTTCCTTCTTTTTGCAGATTTTGCACTTTATTCGCCTATATACATATATATATATATATATATATATATATATAATACAATCAATTGTTAATTGGGAAATTGGCAAATTTTTAGGCTTAAATTGACTCTTTTGACGTTAAAATCAAGCTTTCGGCATTCTCTATGGAGCCTTCATCAGGATTCTGAAAACACAATTGTGATGCTAGCAAAGAATACAGGACAGATTTAAATTGTCAAACAACTTACTCGTCGTTGAGGTTGCAGCCACAATGTGTTTCAAAACGAACATAGAGAAGATAGAACTTGTAATAAGTATAAAAACAAAAGGACGGAGACATTGGGCTTTTTGATAACGACAGATACCTTTCTTACATGTTAAAAATATCAATACACCCGAACATATTAAAAATTATTAAAAATGAGAAGACATTTTAGGGAAACAATCGGAATGCAGTCTCTAACCTCCTACTACCGCTACACGTGGAGAGGGGGACGGCACGGAAAGATAATGCATCGACAGATGACAAGTGATTGACGCGACGGACCGTGGAACTGTAAACCTCATTGACCAGTTTGGGTATGAAGTATACGAGGGACGCTCGGTAAACCTCTCAAATTTCTAAAATGCTGAATTAATTTGTTTTGGAAAAATGTGTAGTTCATATGAGTGTACGAATGTGAGATAGTGATACAACCTTGAAAAGATGGGTTATGTGAGTTTACCTTAAAGATTGTGACTGAGAAATTTCAATTACCAGGATAGCAATTGGAAATGTATTCTAATTTTGTTCTTCATTTATTTCACCAAGATTATTTTTATTTTAAGTTCATGGTAAGACCTGAAGTTCAGGAACCTTCCGGGAGAAATTGGTTTCCTGTACAAGTCTACCAGTAAAATATTGTCATTGGTGCGAATCAATCTTGAAAAGGGAACAGATTGATTGTTATCTTCTTTTTCGATGGTGAACTGGATGTAGGGATCATAACTGTTAAAAACTTCAGCAATATTATCCACCCTCTCATAAGGAAGACAAACGATAATATCGTCCACATACTTTTTTATGAAAATTAGATTGAATGCAATACTTGAATAACAACATCAAGCAGGTCATCCATTACATATTCTGCCAAAATGCTCACTGCTCATATATATATATATATATTCGAATCCACTTTCCTTCTTTTTGCGGATTTTGCCCATTATTTTCCTAAACGTTATGGTAGTCATTATTGAAATGGGTAATAGGGGAGGTCAAAACAAGTCAAAAAGTTCATATGACCCATAGTCCAAAAGTCAATAGATTTTTGTCTAAATGGCTCTATAGTTTACAACTTTAAGTGCTTTATATCGACCCCAATCACCAAAATCTTACTAATTTCTATAATCTAATCTAAACCGTTTTTTAGTTGGGTAATTAACAAATGGCATTAAGTTTCTCAAAATTTGTAGTCAGTAAGTAAGTAAGTTTCATTAAATTAAATATTTAAAACACACATGACAACAGCGCGTCGGTCAATCATCACTCTTATCGAAGCGGCAATCGATCGCAAACGGTAACAAACTCCATCTTTATTTACACTGCGTTCCGTCGTAATTTGCGTCTGGCATTGCGGCGTTGTCAGATTTTATTTTACTTTAAAGTCGCTTTTCTCTAAAAAAAATGACCCCCTTGTTATATGAATCTTTTTGCTTCTTTTAAGCTCCTCTATCACCCATTTAAATAATGACTATCATAACGTTTACACCCTGTATATCATCTCATTGATTTAAGTCAAATCACCCTGCTTTACAGACCATATGGCTTAGTATATTTAAACTTCATTTAGCATCGTTGTTCAGCGGCTGACAAGCTTCGAGATTTGGATATTGATAAAGTATTTCTTCCTGTTTTTTCACAACTTTTTGGAATGTCTTTAATGAGAGAAACGTATATCTTTCCGAGGCACTGTTATCATGATCGGTTTGGCATACAGAATGTTTAGCATATGTAAAGATGCGCTGACACCAGCTATTTCGATTCGAGTTCAGCTCAACTGCAACCATCTGACAAAGTTCATGCAAGTCCATTGGCTATTTACGTGTATAGCCGCATTAAAAATGTCATGGGAGATAGCGAAGTCCCCTTAGGTGGTTTGACTAGAGGCGCTCGTGACTTACGACCGGCGCAAATTATCCAAATAGTAGCTTAAAATGTTCGTTTGCAATGCGGAGAGATGGAGACAGAGAGTAGAATGACCCATTGCCCTTTATAGCTGACGGCTATGACTAAGCGATAGCGTGTCGGCTATGGGCGACTCTCTAGCCGAATCGTGGCATACATCAACGGCCACTTTGTGAATAAGGAACTAACCCATTGGCGTTCATAAAGGGCGGTAAAGGACAAGTAAGGAGAAGAACAAAGGAATAAAGACGTGATACGTCTTCGATTCCATCTATCCAAAGAAGAAATAGAAGAGCACGATCCATGTAACACCGTATCTATGGTAGAGTTACAGTGGATAGTGAATTGCCCGGATGGCCGACCCGGTCGAAAATGCTCGTAGATGCATTTTTCTCGACAGCAGTGTAGAAGATGTGCCCGCACATCGCAAAAAACTCACAAAACTTATTGGAAATATTTCAATGAGGTGGAGGAGGAAAACACCTTGAAAAATTTCTTGTTAGTAAACTTTATTTACTAATTTAGAGATAATGGCAGATGGTCTCTTTAAATTTTGTTTTACTCAAAGTAGAAAACGACTTTTTTTATTCTAGGATTTACTTTGATTCCAAAACTTTGCTTTTTAATAGAAAATACATTTTGTCATTATACTTTATCTTTGGTGATTGGTAGGTGCTAACATGGACTTCAATGGTTTTTTTGAAAAGCAAAGAAATTGTCTTGGATTGAATTGTTTCTAAAAATAATAATTTTGGATTAAGAGGTAAGTTTATATTCTGGTGACATTAGCTTGAAAGCAAAAAATAAGATAAAAGTATAGTGCTTCATTGCAAATCATTATAATTCTCAAAAGTACATTGTAAAATTCTTCTTTCTGTCCGTTACTTATACCACACAGACATGAGTTTATAAATCACTCGGTAATGTAATACCGTACAGAGTAATGGAAAGTAGATTGACAGACGAAATTTTACTCTGGAATACTGCGGGACTTTATTTTTAGAACGCCTACATTATTACAGAGTCATGTAATGACACTTGGTGACAGCCGACTAATTTCTAACCACGTTTTTTGCGACCATTGTAATTATTATAAGACACCCTAGGGATATGAGGTAGCATTTATCATAAAAAATATATATTTTGGCCATTTTAAGCAGATTGTGATAACCAAATAAAAGATTTTGAGCTCGGGAAGAAAAGCACACTTTTGACTTTCAGATGGATTACTTTGTTTTATTTCCGAACCCAAGTAACAGGTACGTCAAATAATCACGAACGCTAACATTATTACAGAGTAGTACAAAGTACATTCTGTTAAAATTTACGAACGCTGCCCTGTTCTTCCACTTCATTTTCTTAACCACCGCAATCATCTTCACTATTTTTCCGAATTTTGAGACAATATGATAATACATCGATGGTGTAGCGAGCGCTGTGTGTGTGTGATTTTCTTGGGAAAATAATAATCAGAAGATGAAGCATCGAAAGCACAAGCATGGTGAGTGATAAATACATTTATAATACCCCATGTTTATCTGGCCAATCATACCACATATGTTTAAAGCTCTCCCTTATTTTACAGCGTTTCGATCCCAACCGTAATCTTCAAGTACAATGGACACTTTATTCACAATTTTGTCAAAATCTTCGATTTTGTACGATATTTAATAAAATTTTGTAAAATTGAAAAAACACAAACGATTGTACTGGATTCGTAAACATTTTTGTGGGTCCTGGATTAAAGCAAAAGTAGAGGAAAAATCGAGCGATAACATTGGTTCCAGGCTACTATATTATTTGATTTCACAGTTGAATGATAATTCGCCTAATCATACTGATATGTGGTAATATACATCACTTTTCCCAATTTCTATCTGAAACGGCACAATCGACAATTTATCATAACAACACGTGTACCCATTGGCAGGTTTATGGTCTTCTCCTACTCATATGGTGCGGAAAATGATGAATAGTCTGCTAGGGTATGCATGGAGGTATGGTTGAAGCAAACACTTCCTGTATTCCCCTATCGCATGTTTACCTTCTGGCGACTATGAATATAACACTGTGTACCTACGTTATGGCGTACGGTGTTATCCTTAAATTCATATTTTTCCTGCTTGAGAAACTTAGTTCTTTGTTCGGTTGACTATTTGCACCAGCGCTTATGAATTTGCACAACTGGTTTCAAACGTGGCATTTGTCAAAGATACATCTTACTGATGAGTCTCAACAACGGTAAAATACTAGATCATTGATTTTGGATTAATGAAATCGCAAATCCCTATTTTTCTACAATTTAAGGTGGATGGACTAGGGAATAGCTCACTTGCAAATAAACGCTTATTATTTCTTTATTTACTGGATAAATGAAACAAATAAATTATTAACACTTTGTTCCATTATGTAGCTTATATAATATTTTCTTGAATTCAAGTTCTGTTAGAATTTTTTGAGAGCCGCCTCGCAAGGAACAAAGCTCCATACAAGGCTAATATAATAAATCAGGCGTTTTACTTAAAAAACTAACGTTGTGATCAAAATATGCGGTTATGTTACTTAAAATAAGAAGACTACTTAAACGTCACCGAAAAACTAAGGATGTATTTCTGAAAATATTCACAAAACGATTTCAATTCTTATTCAAATTTATTTTTAAACTCGTATCTAGAAATACAAGAAGATAGGTCATGCCAAGAAACGGATAGAAAATTAATGTATCCCTCAATGGTATATGGTGAGATTTGGATTAAAAGACTTTTTAACCTGGCTTTAAGATCTGTAAGCAAGTATTTTTTCGTATTTTGAGAAGGAAGTTATACGGTCTGCAACCAGTTCCTGTAAAAGGTGTGATTGTAGGTTTCATTGCGTCCACGAGAGAAATAACTAATGAATTATTTTTAGTTAAAAAATCAAGTAATAGCACTTAAACTCAGCCACCACAGTTTTTATGTGCCTCGACCATTTCCGCTATCAATAGTAATACCTAAAAATGATGTAGTGTAGTGTAGTTCTTTGATGGTTATGCCCTTATACTGAGTAAAGGCTACTTGAACGTCACCGTAAAACTAAGAATGTATACGTAAAAATATCCCAAAATAATTTTATAGTTTTAGTAATAGTTTTATATTGATATGAAATAAGTTCCCAATAACCTTTATAATTTTGCTTAAATAACAGTTTAAACCGAGCAAAATGGCCTTCTTATGGAAGGCCAAAATGTTCAAGATGGTGTTGGAAATCTGCAATTCAAAAATCAAAGAAACTAGTTTATTTACTTAAAAACTTACGTTTTGCTATGAGCTAGGATTATAATTTCAACATCGACTACAGATTAGCCAACAAATTGAGTGACCACATTGACAAAACGACTCCGCCGCGTCTGTGTTGAGTTCAATCGATCTAAGCCAAAGCAGAAATATTTTGTCATCGCATGGCAATAAATACGATTTTTCAATAACTGACGTTTCTCATTTATCGTTATAATCAGCGTAGAAAATGTATACATATAAAAAATCAAATATTGATTTCAAATATTTCTAATATTTACTTGCATCTGTTACAGGAGTGTACTCAGTGTCCGATGGTATCCAACAATTTACCGTCAACGTAACTACTGAAGGTAGAAAAGGTCTACCCTTAAGAGGTGATATCTTGGTGAAGTGCTATCATCGGAGGGAGGAAAGCAGAGAACCTATCTTCGCCTGTCAGTTCCATACCTGCGCAGTCGCTGATCATACACTTAGTTTCACCAGGCAGGAGTTGGATATTGCTTGCAACGGTAAGTTCATCAGCCCATGAAACACCTATATCGGTATAGCTTATTCTGATTGATAAATCTCCGCATAAGACTCCATTGTCTGGCAGAATCAGTTCACATATATGTTTTTTTTCTCGTTATTGTACGAAGTTTTTGCGTTCGCGGTGTCCTTTTTCAATTACAATGACATTATATTTTTTATCTGTCTTTTATAATAATAATAATAATAATAATAATAACCGTCTTTATTATTGACATAAGACATTGACAAAATGGTAAGTGAACATAAGTACATCCAGTGTCAATAAAGGGCGAAGTTCAGTTTGATTAGTACACAGTACCAACAACCTGCTCTTCCACTTAGCCCAGTATCCTCTACGACATATGACATCCGATAAACCGATAATACATACATGTCATCATAAAAGAGGGACATACCTACACGCTAACAAAAAAAAAACAATCATTCATTCATTCATGCGGTGCTACTGTTTTTGCAGCAGTTCCTTTTTAAACATGGCTTTGAAGTTATCTATTCTAGAAAATTTTAGTTCCTTCCGGACTGAGTTGTAGACTTTATACATTTGGTATGTGAAGCTTCGTTTGAAGATTGACGTTCTAAACTTGGGTGGCGAAATAAGACCCTTACTTCTTACTTTAATGTTATGAACGTCAGTCCGGTAGGTTATTTTTTGATAAAGATATTGGGGTGTTCTGACTAAAATTAATTTATGATAAATATTAGCAGAGTGGAGGAGCCTACGATTTTCCATATTTAACCAACCTGCATCTTTCAATTTGTGAGATATTCTATGTCTCCTCTGTATACCAAATACAAGGAGCAAGCATGAGTTTTGAACCAGTTGAACTTTACGTCGATACAGGTTAGTTAAGTGTGGGCCGTAAAGCACATCAGCGTAGTTGAATAAAGATAATACTAAAGTATCACATAGCATGATCTTAAGTTTTAACGAGAGAAATTTCCGGCTACCGTAAATAAATTTCAACGACAAATATGCTCTCTGCATAATTTTGTTGATGTGATACTCAAATCGAAGATTACTATCAATCACAACACCTAAATTTTTTACATTGTCCATTATTTTGAGAGTTACACCATTTATCTCAATTTTAATAAGATTCTCTATAACATTTTTATTTTGTCTAGGTCCAAAAACAATTACGTGAGACTTTGATGGATTTATTAAAAGACAGTGGCGTGTGGCACATTCTACAAAGGAGTTTAGCTCATTACTAATGATCAACGAGAAACGATCCATCAATTGTAGATTTGGGTGTCGTCAGCGTAAAAATGCACATTACATAGACTAAGGAAGTGCATGAAATTAGATGTATAAATTAGAAATAGGAGTGGTCCAAGTATGGACCCTTGGGGTACGCCGGATTTCAAATTTAAAGATAAAGACTGAACTCCATTTAAAACAACTGTTTGTTTCCGCTTAGTGAAGTAGCACTGAAATAAATCTATAGCGTTTTGAGAAAGACCAATATGATAAAAATTAATAAAATAGCAAGCATTAATTCATGGTTTAAAGTGTCGAACGCTCTGCTGAAATCCAGCAGAACAAGAACAGTACACTCGCCACGATCTGTAGCTCTAATTATGTCGTCTGTTACATGAAGTAAAGACGCCGTACAGCTATGATTTTTCCTAAATCCAGACTGTACAATTGGCAGTAATGAAAATTGTGACAGATGATAAGAAAGTTGCAGCTCATTTCTTTTTTCGTTAATTCATTCTTATACAGTGTGCTACGATAATAGATTGAACTTTCTTGAAGCATGCCGAGAAAACGTAAAGCCATTTTTACAATTTTAAGATGGCACCGTGTAAAACCAGAAAAGTCACAGATCGCTTGGGGCAGGTATTCCTGCTCCCAAAGTACATCCAGCCCCCAAAACGACGAGCATGAGGCCAGACAAGTCACTCTCACCCATTGTCCCAAAAACGCTACACGCCCTCCAAGAGCACAAAAAAACACCCAGAGCTAGTGACGCCACATACCGATTAACTGTTATACAATACGAAAAAAATTAAAACATAAATGTGGTTTGATTCGGCCAGACAATAGAGTCCTATGAACGTGAAAACTACAGGATAAGTTTCAGAAGTTACATTAACATTCTTTATATTGTACTTTATCATGTGAGAATAACGATTCTTATATTCATGCAAGTACTGCAATATACGTAGTTTGAGTTACGAACATACACAGTTGTCAAAACATTTTGATGGCGTGCATGTCCTTTTCAAAAACTAATTTTGTTTTCTGTAGAGCGATATACAAAAAATGTGGTGTAGCAAGACAAGATAACTATCCGCAAACGATCCAGTATAAAATCATGTACTTTCGCAGAAATGCATAATGGTAACAATCAATCCCTACTGTTGATCAATTAAATTATGACCTAATCCTTCAGCATATTATAAAACAATTATCTCGATGAATTGAATTTAGTAGTATGTTATAAGTATTAAGCATATTATTCGTGATGACATGGTTAAAACGTTTCTAGAGCTGTTCAAGGAAATTTTAAGGCAAGCAGGCTTTGACATTTTTTATACGGAAGTATTCGCCTAAATACCGGTCACCGCCGCTGCTATAATGAGCTTAAAGGCACAATTAATCAGATTTCTGAACTGCGTAAGGTTAATTAGCACTCAGAGAAGCCTGCTCGGGTAGATTGTCCACAATCTCGAAACCGTAGGGACAAAAGAGCGGTTGTACGGGCCAGTTTTGGATGTACGAAGTCAGGCGGGGTCAGTCTGGCACTGAGGGGCAACGCCCGCTGACATAGCGGTAGAAGGAGCCAGGTCGGCGACGGTGCGAAAGGTAAGAGATGAGTTACCGTTTAGTTGGACGGCCCTCCTCTGAAGACTATCGAAGATGAATATGTGAGCAGTACTCGAGGCTACATATTATCTGGGCTTTGTACATATTGAGGCGGTTATGTGGAGAAAAGTACTCCTTAGCCCTAAACAAATTGTCTAGCTCTAACCCAGCAGCTACCGCGATTGAGATGCCTTCGTGCCAGATCAAGTCCTCGGTGATCTGGGCTGCGTACGGCTCTTTGCGGCGCTTCTTGATAGTCAAGGTACAGTAATATCTTTTGAAAGCCAGATTGCTGAGTCTCCAGCAGTGATCACATCTAGATCTCTCGTCAGAGAGGAAGACGCTGCTAGTCTGTTTCTCTCCAGCTCACTGGCAGAGATCGACTTGGCTCTCTGAATTCAAGCATGTAGAGTGCTGTCGTCAACTTAGCTGTGGATCGGACTGATCGTACAGGATGGGAGATCGGTGGTATACAATAATAATGTCGGAGTAAAGACTGATTCCTGGGGCCATCGTTGACATGGGATGTGGGATGAAGATGAAAACCCATCAGTCACGACGGATATCTGTCGGCCACAGAGAAAGTCAGCCATCCATTTGCAAAGCTTCCCTGGAAGGCCATAGGATGAAAGTTTGCGTAAGAGGGCAGCATGTCACAGCTGATCAAAAGCTTTCGTGATTTCAAGAGCAGCTACATTATTGCGTGCCGTATGCTAAGAGGTGCGCCATATTTTTAAAATGGAGTTGATCACGTATATTTCACAGATGCAACAACAAACTCATTTTTCTCATCATAAAACTGTATATCAATATCATCATACCCAACGGTGGGAGGGTTTCCTATATGCAACTAATATCTTGAAACTTGCTTTTTGAAAACGATTTTATTATAGGTGCCGTTCCAATATGCATCATAATATGGCTTACACTGACGTATATTCACACCCTCCGGGTATCGGTCGATATCCACAGAGAATTATTTTTGAGTTTTGAAAAGTAACTTGATAAATGGCACTCGTAGCTCTTGTAAAACACCGTGCAACTTTTTACCCATCACGTTTTCACCCCAAATTATTTCAGATATTTAATCTCTATAAAAAATGTTTTGAATGTATACGGGCTGACGCATTTTCAATGCAGGTGAACTGCACCGTGTAACGAAAGAGTAACGTTGGCGTTGGCAGCGTCCAATAATTTCATTCTGGAGGCAATAAAACGGACGCGGGCAATTTTAGGAGTTAATTCCTTCGCGCGGCAGCAACTCCAACAGCCGAACGATGTTGGAAGTGTTGCAGAATCGATACGGTCGGCCAATAAATAAGCCAGATAATTCTATTATTAAATGCAGATTGCTGCTATTATTTTAATAGAAGTAGACAATCAGCTAGCGCCCAAAGGGGCTGTATGTGTAATTTATTTAAACAGCCACTCTGCGAGCTGTACGGATGGATAATGGACCCGGTGGTCGTAATAAGATTTGATCAAGTCCTGGTAATCGGATAGAATTCCTTTTTCTTCTTTCACTACAACAAAGGCAAGTGCCTTTAGATTAGTTTTAAGATGTGTATTTGGTTAGAGGGAGAGTTACCGAACAAACAAGTGCTTTATATCGCATTGAACACCAGGGGAGCATAGGAACCATTAGAAAAAATGAAATTCGCATGAAATGTGTTCATTTCCACACGTTGCATATATGGAATAGGATCTTAAAAGTTTCAAATTTTAAATATTGGAATGTTTAGTTGTAAATTTGTTACTTGCCTAATTTTGTGTAATTTGAGGATCAGTTTTGACAAAATTAATATTAATATAAAATTAGAACGATTCCGTTATACCGTACGTCTTAAAATAATTTGTCTCTAACAAACATTTATGAAACGAATGACTCTTTAGAAAATGTTTAAATCCTCCATTGAATATTTGCGCATTTTAATTTAATAAACATCCTTATTTCAATTTTATCTGTTATAACAATTCCGACCTACTGGATTGCACAATTTTGAAAATTAGTAATTATATTATAAATATACAGACCATTTCACTAAGTTTCAGGCTTCTGTTCAAAATTTTTTGGACTAGCTGCAATCTAAATTGATAGGAGCAGTATCGAAACAATATTTTTTTCAAAAAAGAGTTCACTTCATCTAAATTAAATAACACATTTTTCAGATAGAGGATAAGGATTT